TAAAAAAAAAACGGGAATTGAGGCTGGAATTGAGACCAGGAATGAACTTCTGAGGAGCCAGGAAAATCATGGAATTGTTTGGGATGGGAAGGGATCGGAAATCTCATCCTGATCAAATCCCGACAATTCCTGCTGTTCCAGCAGGATCTAAAACCATCCTGGGACATTCTCTGGGAATTCCAGCCCAGCCGGGAATTCCTTCCCAAGATCCCAATAAATCCCCCCTTTCCCAGGGAATTCCCTCCATTCCCGGCTCTCCCAGCCCCAGATCGGATTCCTCCCCATGCCAGTGTTTGGGACGTTCCCACATCCAAACCCATCCCGGAAAATCTCCCAAATTCCCATCTCGACATCGGGAAAATGGAATTCCCATTCCCACTGGGATTTAAAATCCAAGGAATTTGGGATCGGGTAGGTCTGGGGACTTTTCCAGCCTCAAAAATTCCAGGATTCCCGGATTTCTGTGGACACCAGAGGGCGCCGCAGCCACAGCCGAGAATCGCAGCCCGAACCATTCCCAGGAGAAGCAGGAATTCCTCTTTTCCCAGAACGGGAATTCTCCAGGTGACAGCTCYGCCTTCCCGAATTCCCCGGGAATCCCAAATAATCATCACCGGCAGAAAATCGGGAAAACCGGGATGAGGCCGGCTTGGAAAATCCTTCCCGAAAATCCTGGCGGTGTCCGAGGGTTTTCCCACCTGATCCAGAGCAGGAATTCCAGGAGATAATATCCAANGAAAAAGGGGCCAGGATTGGGAATTTACATGGGAATGGCCCAATCCTGGACGTGCTGGCGGAAGCGGCACTCGTAGGTGAAGATCCGGTGGCTCCGGGCCACGTTTTCCGTGCGGGAATTGTAGAGGAGGCGGAAGAAGGTGCGGTTGATCCAGGACACCAGGCAGGGGAGGAAGGAGCTGCCGGAAAAATAAAAAATGGGAATTGAGACTGGAATTACTACCAGGAATGAACTTCTGAGGAGCCAGGAAAATCATGGAATTGTTTGGGATGGGAAGGGATTGGAAATACCATCCTGCTCAAATCCGGGCACTTCCTGCTGTTCCAGCGGGATCCAAAACCATCCTGGGACATTCCCATGATCCCAAATCCATCCTGGGACATTCCTGGGATCCCAAATCCATCCTGGGACATTCCTGGTATCCCAAATCCATCCCGGGACTTTCCCTGGGAATTGCAGCCCAGCCGGGAATTCCTTCCCAAGATCCCAATAAATCCCCCCTTTCCCAGGGAATTCCCTCCATTCCCGGCTCTCCCAGCCCCAGATCGGATCCCTCCCCATCCCATTGTTCCGGATGTTCCCACATCCAAACCCATCCCGGAAAATCTCCCAAATTCCCATCTCGGCATAGGGAAAATGGGATTCCCATTCCCACTGGGATTTAAAATCCAAGGAATTTGGGATCGAGGTGGTTCTGGGGCTTTTCCAGCCTCCAAAATTCCAGGATTCCCTGATTTCTGCGGACAGCAGAGGGCGCCGCAGCCCCAGCCGGGAATCCCTGGAAAAGCAGGAATTCCTTTTTTTGGGATCGGATCCCTCCCCATCCCGGTGTTTGGGACGTTCCCACATCCAAACCCATCCCGGAAAATCTCCCAAATTCCCACCTCGGCATCGGGAAAATGGGATTCCCGTTCCCGCTGGAGTTTAAAATCCATGGGAATTTGGGATTGGGGCAGTCCTGGGGCTTTTCCAGCCTCAAAAATTCCAGGATTCCCAGAGGGAGCCACAGCCCCAGCTGGGAATCCCTGGAAAAGCAGGAATTCTTCCTTTTTTTGGGATCAGATCCCTCCCCATCCCGATTATAGGGAAATTCCCACATCCAAAATCACAGAAAATCTCCCACATTGCCCCCTTGGCACCGGGAAAATGGGATTCCCATTCCCACTGTGATTTAAAATCCATGGAATTTTGGGATCGGGGTGGTCCCGGGACTTTTCCAGCCTCCAAAATTCCAAGGTTCCTGGATTTCTGCAGACACCAGAGGGCGCCACAGGCCCAGCTGGGAATCCCTGGAAAAGCAGGAATTCCTCCTTTTTTTCGGGATCAGATCCCTCCCCATCCCAGTGTTTGGGACGTTCCCAACATCCAAAATCCTGGAAAATCTCCCAAATTCCCATCTCGACATCGGGAAAATGGGATTCCTGTTCCTGCCGGGATTTAAAATCCATGGAATTTTGGGATTCGGTGGTCCCGGGGCTTTTCCAGCCTCCAAAATTCCAGGATTCCCGGATTTTTGCGGACACCAGAGGGTGCCGCGGCCCCAGCCGAGAATCCCTGGAAAAGCAGGAATTCCTCTTTTCCCAGAACGGGAATTCTCCAGGTGACAGCTCCGCCTTCCCGAATTCCCCGGGAATCCCAAATAATCATCACCGG